CTGATGGTGTCCAACACATCCATTCTTGCCTTGTGATTCTTTTACCGTCTGAAATGTTGTTAGTTTTAATGACATAATTATCCTTTATATATTCAGTTAAATGTGTGGGTTGGATTTTTTTTTTTTTTGGTTCTTTTTTCTTTTTTTTTCTGAGTTATAATTAGTTTCCCTGAGAGGCAGCAGCTTTAATGCTTGGGTAGTTTTCTGAGAAGCTGGGACCGAAAGAAGCTTTTGGGAAACGACAATTCTAGGTCCATGTTTTTTTATTTGGTATGCTTTATTTCAGTCTTTGTCTGAGCTGAATGTTTTTGTTGACTGACAGAAGATGCATTGATTCAGTGAAATTAAGCAATTTCAGGCCTGCCTCCCAAACAAACACATACAAAGAACTTGTATATTGACTAAAAGTAAAGTTATTTTCTAAATTTTACTTACATGGAAAAAACATACTTAAATGGAAAAAATGAACACTCCATCCCCCTGTCCCCAGGGCACTAATTGGCCCTGATCTGAATTTTTTTTTTGTTGAACTTTACTGGGAGTTTATCTCAACAGAAAATTTTGTAATAGATGTGTGTGCTGTGCAAGAGGACAATATCCTACAAAGCAAGAACAGTATAGGTTATTCATTATCAAGGTAATTCTAATAAGATGAGAGTACTTAGTGTATCTTGAAAAAATATAAAGGGAGGCCTGGGGAAAACGGTCATTGGCTTGTAAATTACTGTGTTGTCTTCTCCTGTTTTCCTTGCTCCATGGTCAGCCTAAGGCAGCCCACGCCTGACTCTAATACTGCTGCACCCACACAGATGTGGAAGGGCTGTGTAGTGGGCTTATGTGTGTTATTCACGAAAGCTTGTCACAAAACACACAAGTAGTTGTCTTAAGAAGCTTAATACATGTGGTTATGTACTGATTATGTTATGTCCTGGTATTATGCCATTGTTAGGAAACAACAAAAAACGTTCTTTCATGTGCTTTACAGAGGGCCTGTGGCAGATATGCACAGAGGTAGAGAGAAATTGTGATTTTGCCTGTAGGTTATGGCATCATTCTGAAGCCAAAAAAAAAGAAAACAACCAACAACTGAGAAAATAGTTTGGAGAGCATATGAAAAGTCTTGTATGATCTGCCTGTGTGGGAAGTTTCATTGTTGTTATGAGGTGGTGATGGTGCTATCACGTTTCCTCCACACCCCCTTACACTGCATACTGGGGAACATCTTCCTCAAAATAAGGGGAAAAGGAACCATCGCTTTTTTGGAATTACTTTGCCCATCCAGTTTCTCCCAATATCAAGCTATACCAGGGCAGAAGATCCAGGCTTTCATCACTTCTGTGAGACCTGGAGCAACTGGTTTCTCTCCATGAAAACCCATAGCAGGTAGAAATGGAAAGGTCCTGGCTGGTCCCTTAGTCTCTCCTCTCTCCCTTTTTACAGTACTTTTGAGAATGATGTGTCCGAGCTAGATTTGCCTCTCTGTTGCAAAGTATTTCCAATCCTCTAGTTTAGATGGAAAGCTGTTCCCAGCTGGAAAAGCTCATTTACTGGCACAGTCAGAGTTACAATTGGTTTGTATAGATCTAGTGCAGCGAAAAAGAAGAAGAAAAATAAAAAAGAGGGAAAGACAAGAAAATTCCTTTGCCATTCCATATTTGTTGTTTGTGAAGTTGTGTAAGTTGTCAGTAAAGTGTGCTCTTGAACAATCAGGAGCACTGTGGCCCCAAAAGACTGTTGGTGGGAGTGAGGAGACACAAGGTCTGTGGCTCTGGCTTGGCCAAAATGTGCTACATAGTTTTCATTTTCTGCATGCATGATTAAAATTAAGGACCAAAAAAAAATCTTGGCTCCAGCAGTGGGAACCACACAGATGTGAACTGGGAGGAAAGCTGATTTTTTTTTTGCTGCTATGTCACAGTTTCCTGTGACCAGAGTTTTTTGCAGCACAGGCAAAGATATGAGTTATCTTTTTTATAAGTAATGGGAAAAAGTACAATGTCCAGGATCTCACAGTGTTCTTTCTGTGCCTTATTTTGGGTGGATCTAATAGTTTCCAGAGCTCCAAACCCATTGGAGATTTTCTCCCCTGATTTGACATTGATCTGATGATCTGAAAGGTCTTTTCCCACCTTGTGATTCTATGCAGTGTTCTCTCAAACTGCCCCGTGCAGTCCTTCCTAAAGCCATAAGGCACACACACACACACGCAGTAAGCCCTGTGTGCTGTGTGGAAGAATACATGAAAGAACCGCGTATGTATTTAAATGCTCCACGTGGTCATGAGATTCACATATCATGGAATAATCATAGAATCTCAAATTGGATTAGGATGGAAGGCACCATAAAGCTCATCTAGTTCCAACCTCCTACCGTGGTCAGGGTTCACACTCACTAGATATTCTGTCTTCTTCTCTTGTCAGGGGCCTTATGGATGCGTGCACATTGCCGGGTGATGGGATCAAACGTATATTAGAGATACACATTTCCTGAGGAGGAAAGCAGGCAGCCGGGCAAGGACATTACATGTTCCTCAGCCCTGCAGCTCTCTGCCAACGGATGGAGAAAGTTGTTGGCTGAAGACGCAGGCACTTCTCATGGTGCCTCAGTGCAAGGCTACTGGGGTGAATAGAGTGTCACTTCCAAAGAGCTACATTCGCATTCTGATTTTGGTTACAGAGGGGATTATATATAAAGGGTTTTTAATCCCTTTGGAAGCCTTCCAGTCCCTGGGGATATCACTGCTTAATCTTGCCACAATCCAGCACAGGGTCATTCTTTCTCAGGATAGAGCTTGTTCAGGGACTTTTATGGGGTTTTGTTTGCTTGCTTGCTTTTCAAGTGAGACTGTTTTCCAGTTTAATTTGGAACTGCTTGTGAAAAGTGTGTGCTTTCAGAAGGCTGTTGAGAGATTTTTGCCCAGCATCAGAAAATGCAGCACAGATAAGGAGCCAGGTGTGCAATGAGGAATGGGAAGCAGGAGGGACCCAAACTAGAGTTGTCATAAGACTTTCAGAAGAATTTCCAAATTAAAATATTTTGCTTTTTACGTGTGTATCACACATTTCTTAGAAGAAGGAGGGAGGAGAGTGTTTGGCAGCATGGGCCCTTTTGACTGTCTCCCACACTGAGAGGCTTGATTACTCCCTGAAAAAGGAATTCACCCAGTATATAAGGAATGACACATGCATCAACCCTGCATGGACCGTTACATTTCAGCTACAGACTGAGCAGTCCCACACTTTTGATACAATGGGAACCTATTGAGTTAAGCTCCAGTAGCAGCACTGGATTGCATGTTACTGGCTTATTAGGATGATCTGTCTAAAGCTGTAGGCAAGGGATACATTTTCTAAACAAGTCTGGGGTGTTAGAATGATACCAGCAATAACAATCTGTAAATTACGATGAGGTTCATTGAGTGAGCAGTGTGTTATCTCTCTGAATATTTAAATTTTTGCATATTTTGGCAATTTCTTTAAAGAAAGCAAGAACTGGACTGTCAGCACTGATTTTAGTTTTGCAATGTTATGACCTTCTATGTATAATGGACACAAAAGAGGTCTTGAAGGCAGCGTGTCTTGTCAGTGAGTTGAAAATCCATTCATACCTTCAGTGTTTGCTTTGATTTAAATGTTTGTTATAGTTAATGAAAGATAGCCCAAGAAAGAAGGAGCAAGTTTTCCAGGTTTCATCAGTTTATTACTTCATATTTGCTGAAAAAAAGAAGCATTTTATATGAATGATTGTGAAGCTCTATGGATAGCAAAGTGGGTCGTGGTCTGTCACTAAGAGGGTTTCACTTCTAGTACTCTTGGATATTAATGTGGAGAGTCTGGCCTGTCTTATTACAGAGCTCTGACCAAGTTTCCAGTTGCAAAGCTGCCCAAGGTTCCCAGTCACAAGAGATGTGTCACTGCAAATAAAACCCAGGCATGCTCAAGTCACTTAATAAGCACTATACGCTTCTTTTATTTAGTTCTCAATGTATTTCTCTGGGCAACATTCAAACTCTCCAGCGCCTGCTAATTAGTTTGTTTTCTTATTGAGATTTGGATTGGCACTAAGGCCCAAAAGGGAAGAATCTAGCTGTCAAAATGTGAATGTCTGTAACGAGTGTAAGGTGTGGATGGAAACCACATAGTTGTCACACAGCAGCTATGACATAAAAGATGCTATTGCTCCCGTACCATTTACCATAAGAGTGAGGGATATTTTTGGAGGGCAGAAGATGTGATTATGGGAGACAGCTAAATGGAAGCTGTCATTGTATGCTTCATGCACTGAAATGGAATAATGTGCAGGAGAAAGGATGTTAGAAATATTTTAATAAATATCAAGTACGTGGATGAATAACAAAAATATCTCAGCATTAGTTAAACATGGCTGGCTAGGCTGTGCAGCATTGCTCAGCTGGGGGAGCACAGGATTCAAAGTGGGCGGCAGGGCTTTTCCACCTAGCCCCAAAACTTGCTTTCTCTGAAATCTTGGCAAGTCATATTTTCCTCTGATTTCATGCCCTTTGGACCAGGTATGATCAAGATATGACAGCAATGTGATCAACAGCATTTCTAAAATGCTGTCATTGTCTGACATAACTCATAGACCAGTGTCAGATATTGTTTTTAAGTTCTGATAGGATCGTGGATAGCTATTAAGTGAGGGATGATAATCAGTTGCCACTGGTTTCATGCTCCAGGCCCTTTGCAGGGATGGCAGACTTTGCAGCCCAGGTAGAGACCAGGCTTTTTTACCTGTGCCTGAGACTTGACCTGGCTGCAGTTATCCCACTTCTCCCCACACAGCAGTCTTCTGCCCATGCTCTCAGCCTAGAGAAAGGTTCCCACAGGCAGCCTGAAATACTCTGGTAACAAACTTTGGGGTAACCTCTCCACACTAAATTAGTTTTAATGCAGTTTGATGACCATAAACAGTTATTCTAACGTGTAGCATCTTTGTGCACACCAGCACTGCACCAATGGGTGCCTTCATTCTCCCTGCAGTCAGTACACATGGTGAGCTCCACCCAGCTGCTCTTGCAACATCTCAATCTTGCTGTGACATCGCAGGGACTCAACCAAGTCTTCTGGAGTGCCCTTGAAAATTTTCAAGAGAAGTAAGTAAATCTATGCTTTAAATATGTTACATCACTGAAATTGCCTTGTATGATGGAGGAAGAGAAGGAATGTGCAAATGACTAGTAGATGGTGAAGGACAGAGAAGAGGAGGCTGATGTACAGCTCATTCAGCCCCCGTGAGTCCCCTGGTTGTGAAGTGAAGGGCTGTGCTCCTTGTCAAGTTGAGGCACAGAAACCTACACCTTAAGCCTCCCTGTAGCCAACAGAGTTCCAGGGAGGTGGTGACAGTCATGCGCGTGACAGACTTTTCCAGTCCCCCTTGTGTAAGCACAGAAATACCGTGCTATTATCTCTAGGCCTGCACTGGAAATACAGCAACAGCCCTTTCCTGGGATGCAGTGGGAGGTGTGGGGGCTGCCTCCTGCTCCTTTTTAGCAAGAGAACATCTCTACAGCTCCCCGTACCACCTTCTGCAAAATGACAACCAGCATATGACTTGGGCTTGAAATCCTTGCAGCTGATGGAAAAACAATTAAGATCTCATTAAAATTCTATGTAGGGAGCCAAGAAAAGGAAGATAATGTCAGAGGAAAGGTGATACGTAGGACAGTATGGAGAATTCTCTTAAGTTAAGCCTGTCATTAGACGGGAACACAGAAGGTGATAATTGTACAGTGCATTTCATTCAACCCACAAAGAATAATTAACACTTTCCCTTCTGTCTCTCCTTTCATTGAAATGAATGGATTCAGTACATATACTCTCATCTTAAGGCAGGAGATGTCATAGTCTGACTTTGTATGTGCAGTGGAATTTTACTGCTGGGTTTCTTCACCTGTTTAGTCATGTGAGGCTCTGCTGATTTCATTAATCTCTTTGTGGCTGTTGCTTTTACAGAAATTATTGACTCAAGATGAAGAAGAATTGGAACAAGAATGCACTTGCTTTCGGGTAAGCACAAAGCTTACACACTGCCCTGACTAAGGAAGGACTTGCCAGAGAGAGCTCCTACCCTGGAAGTGCTGGTGGGGATGGAGCACAATGCAAACAGGCACTGCTTCATCCCGTGCAGGCTGTCAGCAGCCTGGCAGGGTGCTGAGGATTTTTCCTTAAGATCTATTTTCAGGCTGACCCAGCTGTTGACCGAGAAACCAAAGCTCTTGCAATGGGTGGATCTCTGACCTGCATTGCTGCCCTGAGCACCATGAGCCCTGAGCGATGTTATTGTGGCAGCTGTCTTGCAAAGCAGATCTTAGCCTTGCCAGGCTTGCAGATGGCTTCCTGACCTCCCACACTTCTCATGAAATTTAACTAGAGATGATAGTCTTCACTTCCTTTTAAACTGGAGTGAGATATCACTGCACATTACAGTGCCACTGATGTTCTCCGCTCTATTGGTGACTACACTTCAGAGCTGGAATGAAGGGATTCACATCCATTGCAGCTTTTCTACTTCACAGAAATCAATAATTAAGATTAAATCAGATTAATTAGCTAAAAATTACAAAGAGCTCTGATATTCCTGTCAGAAAATGCTATATCTGAATATAACAATAGTGTCACTTTACATCCTTTGATTCTTTTGCAGGAGTCCCTATAAGAGAAACTGTGCATGCACATGCTATTTACTGAAGTTCTTCATTCAAATTCATATCAAAGACAGCCCAAACAAATACTTTAATCCCTCTCCCTTAGTCTAAGTATCTTCAAAGTTTTGAGAAGCTTGCCTTAGGATGCTTGATGCTTATACGCAGTGTGAGTAGATGGCTGGCTGAGGCTCCCTGGAGCTGCAGTGCAAATGAGGGATCTGCTCAGTGACACAATCACCTGTGTCCTTTGACTCTCTCTGTGTGCAGTGCACCAGTGTGGCTAAAGGGTGCCCTTTCACCCCGTGGTAGCTGTGCTTCTTTTTCGAACTCTGGGCATACAAGAGTAGGCAGTTGCAGAATATCAGCTTATTTTCAGGTCTGTAGACACCTGCATTTACACAGCATGTGGGCTCTGAAAGTGCCAAGCCTAGTTCCTTCCAAGTGTTTGCATGAGCTCTTGAGGGAAAGGGGTAACATGCTGTCCCATCTCTTTGTCCTTTGACACAACTTGAGGTAGCAACGTCCCACCTTCAGTCCTGATATTTTCACCAAGGTGACGGCATTCTTGGCTGCCAGGGACTAGGGCATGTCTGCATACCGACATCTCCTCTGGCATCTACGGTCCTTGGTTCCTCTGTTAGCCACATGACTGGGCTGTCTCTGCTATACTGTTTCTGTGTGCCCTCTCCTGACCGAATTGCGCCTGGTCCAAGTTGGCACACAGGTAGTTTCTGACTGAAACTGGGTTCAAGGAAGAAAGGATAGAGTTCAGCAGGCTAAATGGGGATATGTCAAACATGGTCTCTCTCGTTTCTCAAAGCACTGAGGCTATTCCTGTGCTAAGCATGACCAGCTATAGTTGAGGTCACTTACAAAGGTCTTCGGGCTGTTCTACCTGTGGATGTGTAGCCATTACTCTGACTTAGCCCAATTTATATTTTCATTTATAGACTCTTCATCATCCATCTGTGATTCTTACATTCATCTGACTTACACCAGAAGGCTAAAACGTAACCAAACGCAATAATCAGGCAGGGAGAAGAAGGGAAGGAGGTTCCTTTGGTGCTTTGCTGATGTGGATGTGGTTGCTGATGATGTAAGAATTGATATGCTGGTTTGCCCAGGGGGACAGGAGATGATCAGCTTCCAAAATTTCAGAAGTGTCACTGAATTTGCATGCCTAACAGAAAAAAAATTCTCATGCTGGGCACCCAAATCTAGAGGCCACTTTTAAACCTTGTTTTGTTTTTCCTGGTTGGAATGGAAGAAACATTTCTAATATGCAGACCATTCTTAACAGACACATTAACTTGAAATTTAATCATAGTTCTAGCCCCAGATGGTTACCGTGCATCTGCTCCTCCATCTGTGGGAGTCTTTAAGGATACTTGATAGCTGTCCAAATAAGTGCTTAAAAACTGCATCATATAAAGGCAAAATAAGAAGATAGCATCATCCAGAATGATCCCAAAGGCAATGGAAGTTTCAGTGGTGTTTGAAGCCCTCAGCAGTGCCCTATGAATTTCACCGGAATGCAGACTGTTTTATGGCATGCACAAAGCATTACTCATAGCAGGTGTACTCTGAAGATATACCTACCTATTTTCATCAGGAAAATGTTGTAAGAAATACACCTCCTGCTTTGTTACGGACAGAAATTTTACTGCCAGGTAACATGTAAACAAATGTAAGCAAAATGCATTTCAGCCACACTGTATTTATTATATTATCTAGTATACTTCATTGATACTTTGCATGTACGTAGTTTGTTTTGTAATTTGGTTTCAATCCAGCCTGTGATCTTCTCCATATCAGAAGTCCTTGATAAATTGAGAAGAATGCTGCAAACTATTTACAGTCTCCTCCTGTCCTCCCTGTAATCCCAGGCAAGATAAATATAGAAATCTCTGGGGCCGAGATGTGAGATATATCATTGATGAGCACATGTGGAATAGGCCTCGCTCAAAACATAATTAGATCAACTGTTGAATTAAGAAGGAGATGGAGCTAATTGAAGTCATACTTAGGGGAGTCTTGCTAGGTCCCATTCAGTCTTGTGGAGAGTCCAATAGTGATGCAGTTAGAGGCCATGGGAAGTTTAAGATGATATGAAGCTTGGTCCAAAGCTCAGTGAAGCTGAAGAAAATCTCCCACAGTCTGTGAATATTGCATGTGTTATGGGACTTTCTTTTTTTTGAAGCACAGTTATCTTGAATGCAGAGGCACTGAAATTCCACTAAACCTTAGCCTTATCCTGCATGAGGATTATGTCAGATAAGAGGGAGGAAGGATGTGCTTTTCTTCTCAAGGTGAATATAATGACAAAGTTGATTTCTAGATTATTTCCCAAAGTCATATCCAAGCAGATAGAGAAGGCAGTAAGTCTATCTATACTGGGTGGTGAGACAGGAGAAAGGCAGGATGCCGTTATGCTGTACTTGCCATGAGCAAGCATAGAAAGAATAGGAGGAGATGGATATGTCTTTTTGCCTCGTTCTCACCATCTCTGCTCATGGGAAGAAGGCCTTCACAGGCAGTTAGAACAGTGCATGTTTTTCACAGATCCTATATGTTCCCTCTTTTTCATAGCAAGTTGTGAGCACAAGGTTTTGCACTTGAGAGCTTTAATCATGGTTATGCTTTACAACTACATGGATAAAGGCCTTATAGAAACAGTCTGTGAACAGGAATCAGGTGTTTCTCTTCACTGTCACCAGAATCAGTGGTGTTTAGGAACAGATCTGCCATCACAGAAAATCACTGCTGCAGCCTGCAAAATCCTTCTTTTTCTAAAATGATTCAAAGAAGGTCTGCTAAGCATGTATATGATTTCTGGTAAGAACATATGGCGGAAGTCCATTGAATAATAAGCAAAGTAGCTACATGGAAATCCATAAGAAATAATATGCCAGCTGGGAATAAATACTTTGGTTTGTTGACACCACTGGGGACAAAATGTTAGGGCAAAATGTGGGCAAGATGTGTAAATAATACTGTGAGCAATACTAGGGGATGAGCATCTGTACTGTATGCTTACATTACTAATGCCATACTCAGCAATTCTGTATGAAAATTGGTGCTTGTTATTTAACACATTGTTGGGAATGATTTATGATTTGATTCCAACTCCTAAATGAATTGCAATTATTCTGGCAGTTATTAATTGTGTAAATTGATGTGCTGGAGTTTGTCTCATAGTATCCAATCTGTTTTTTATGGCTGCTATTTTATTACACTGTGATTGGTCTAAAATGGGCTATGCTTGCCAATACTAAGCAGTTAAAAACATGTTTCAATATACTCATTGGCTTAAAAGCAAGAATGGAGGCAACAGTATTTTCATTTATAATTTGAGGGTTTTTCCTCTTCCTAAGAATTTTCTGTTGCTTTCTAATCTGGTTGCTGCAAGTCTGTTATATTGTGTCTAATATAAAAGGAATAATAATAATTTTCTCAATATGTCACAACCATTGGTGATGCGCCTTCTATTTAGGCAAGACTCCAGAGAAGAACAGTGCTTCCCAGTGAGCGGGAGAAGCATCACCAGCACATCATAGCACTGCTGTGAGCATTTTCATCTAATGGGGGTGGGGGAAAGGAAGATCTTGTCCTTTCCTAACACTGTAACCTCCTGTTTTGAATCTCTTTCTCCGGAAGGGATGTCTGCTCCAGGGAGGATAGCAGTCAGATCCAGAATCAGTATCACAGATCAAGAAAGCCATAGGAAATAGGGTACTACTAGTCTGCCTTCAGCAAAGTGAGAAGAATAGGACTAGCTGCCCAATTTAAGGCCATTCACCCCTGAAAGAGCATTTGATCTTAGAGATGTTAGCTGATCTCTGAGGAGGAGAAATTTTTTAAGCAAGGAATGTAAAAGCCAGTCAGAGCTTTTCTAATTGTCATAGCAGTGACAATCTAGAGCTGATAAGAGAAATAGGAGGAAGTAAGCTACCTGGTTTTAAAGTGGAGCTGGAGCAGATAATCTCATTTTTTTCTGGACACTCTGCTCATGATAAAGCATGGAATCTATACCTTGTTCACATGGCTGTTTGAAGTTCACCCAGAATGCCACAAGGCCAAGTGGCCACCTGGCTGTGCTGCTTGATGATCCTTAGCAATAGCTTCATGATGACCAGTGGATACTCCTTGAGATCGGTGGGTTGGGCTTCCTGCACAGAGTCCTTCCAAGGGCAGGCTCACCATGAGGCATGGCAAGCTGCTGGAACTTTGTACAGTTTTCAGCTATCCTCCTTGAGCTTGTGGTGACAGTGTTTGGCAGAAAGAATTACCTGTGTTTCATCTTGCAAGAATCTTGGCCTTTCCAGAGGGTTCTGGCATTTTCTACGTGGGCTCAGACTGAACTGAGGCTTAGTCAACTTGATCTGAGACTGTGGTTGTCCGATGCTGGAGATCATCATCTTCATCATGTTCAAAGCACCTTAGGATGTACCGACCAAGTATGTGATCCTCAGTCCTTTGTGAGCTTCTCAGAGGTTGCTAATTGTGAACTGATGCTTTAGGTCTTGCTGATTTCCAAGTACTTTTCCAATCTAAGATCTCTGAATTCTGTGTGTTCAGCAAAGCAAATAAATGGCCTTAGGCTCCACTGCAATATGAAAAACTTCAGACTAAGCTTCTGTAATGCTGTGTGAGCTTTGCTTTACTCCTGTGCCTGTACCCCGGTCCTCAGCCAAAATTTATGTGAGAAACAGGACCCTGATGTCAGCATAGAGTGCCTTGTGATTATTTTATGACTTGGGTGAACTATTGCTTTGACTATGAAGCCTCATAGGTTTGATCTGCCAAGAAAGGAAAACATACTATGCTCTTTCAAAAGGTTGTGGAGTTTCATTACTATCTTCTCTTTGGAGCTGTGTGGAAATGTAGTAAAGTCACTAAAATGCTTTCCAGATCTTCTGTGGCATGGAAACACCTTCAAGACTGTAATGTAGGATTTTTCTTATTGCCAGAATTATTAGTTCCGATAATCGTAAGCTAATTGATTACTGTCATCAACTCCTAGCTGCAAGAAATGATAAAGAAACCATGTTTCAACTATTTATCTAATGAAAGGAAATTATACAAGCCTTTCCATTCTGGGATAAAAGCATCAGTTAGGATAGTCCTGAAAACTTCACTGTGGAAAATTCCATGTTCAGATACTGAAAATGTATTAGAAAAATATGAAGGCGTTGTATAAAATGTGATGGTTTAAGTGAACCTAACCTTACTGGCTGAGAGATACAGAATAACCCTGTGATTAAGTGATGAGAAGCAGCTCTTTAGGTAGGTGCTACTTATCTCTGATGTCTCCATTAGGGCTGATCATGTCATACATGGCATTTTGATCTCATAACAAATCACTGTAGTATCTTTTCCTCTTGGGACATACAAATCTCACCCTACTAGCTTCACCATAGAAAAAAAGTCCTGATACAAACAAATTCTCCAATGGGTACATCTATAACTGATCAAAACTGGAGTGTCAGTAAGCAGAACACTGAGAATGTTCTGTCGCTCTTTCATATTGCAAGACATGCTTTAGTTTCATTTATGTACCTTTTTTATAAGGAGAGGAAATGGGTAGGAGTCTCATATTTTGTTGAAAGACAACAAGACATGAGAATATTTATACCTTGTTGATCTGTTCTGGTGAAGAATAGCATTTCAGTCTTTTACTCTTTTCCCTTGAGCCAAGGCAGGCTCATGAAAGGAAAATTGGCATTGCAGAAATGAGTCCCACTGGCACAAACTGTCTAGGAAACAGACTGAGGAACCGCTAACAGGGAAAATAAAAGACAAAAGAGTGAATTTGAAATGTCTGGAGGAGAGAACGGAAATATGCCTTCTGCTGAAGGCTTAATCAAGTTTGGCCTGGGCTTTCTGTCTCATGGAAATTTGGATCCCGCTACTCAAGCTTCCAGAAAAGCTTGCATAGTTGTAGGGCACTGTTGATTTCCTGGTTTGTTTAAAAAAAATGAAGGCTCAGTTTGAGGGTTGAACTCAGATGGCAGAACTTCTGCAATTGAGGTAGTGAAGTGAGAGTGGCTACGGGGGGGGGATGAGGGAAGACTGTAAATCATGAAGGAGAATGGTAACAAGGAGAAGCTTGATCATCCTGACTGAACGTTTTGGAGATGCGGTCGTTTGAGGACAGAGAATGTGAGGAGACTGATGGTGAATGGGCTGCTAGAAGAACAAGCCCACATACAAAGATGGAGCCAGATTCTCTTGGGATGAGCATAGTGACAGGGCAAGAAGCAACATGCACAGGTTTCAGTGTTAAAGATTCTCATCAGTTATTAGGATGTTTTTGCTGAGGATTGGTCAGCATGGAACTCTGACTCGTGACTCAGCTGTATGACTGAAGAATTCAGCGTGTTTTGTGACAGTATGTCAAATTTTACAGGGACTTGGCAGCTGCAAAATTTTCATTTCTTCAAGATAGAAATGACTTGCTAACTCATATAAATAAATGCTAGTATACTTATCTTCTTCAGCACTGGCATTTGATCCCTTTGACACTTTCATGATGCTTTGGACCTGGGCAGGAGATTGATTCTCTTGAAAACTGCTTTTTCATGCCAGCACTGACCCAGACTTTCAAAGCCTCCAGCTCCCTAGCTGAGCCTTAGCCTGCAGGGCAAAAGCTTCAAGCAAATGGCAGCCAAATGGATCAAAGCAGCTGCTCAGAGCTACAGCCTGCTCTTGAGGGTTGCTCTGGGGACACAGTTGCCTGTTGCTTCTTCTTTGCAATGGTAGGTTCTGAGCTGTAGTGGAGGAACTGCTGGATTGCTGCTTGTATCAGTGTTCTCTGGAAAAAGAATATCTCTGGTACTTATCTGCTTTGTGTGGGGACATGGTCACAGATGTCTACAGTTGATACTACATTATGACTGGGACTCTGATGTGTTACACAGCATTACAAAGTTGAGAGAAACATCTTCAAAAGTTAGGTTCAGCTGTTGATGTGTTTTGTTACCAATGGAATGTATATGCAATGGCTTCCTTTAACTAAAGAATAAGAAGTAGACCTCTCATTAGCTAGATGGACAAATGCCAATAGCAAAGTGCAGATGTACTTTTATCTGGACACAAGCCTGTATTTCAGGGTATTCAAAATACAGAATTATATCTTTCCTTTTCATCTCCATAGTGTAGAAGGGAGTTTGGAGGTAATAACAATAGCATCTCAGATTGCTGCAGCAGCTGCTTGTATGTTTGTGCCTCAAAATCACATTTTTTTTGTTTGTTTGTTTGTTTTGTTGCTTTTGGGGGGGTTTTTGTTTGTTTTTGGGTTTTTTTTTCTTGGTCTTGGCATGAACAAGTGCACGTTTGTGCAATGTTTGCAGACTGTTTGATTACTCCTGCCGTGCATAGCCTGGCAGACACATGGTGTTTCCTAAATGAATTGCCATTTCTTCCCAGCTTATGAGTGAAAGGCTAAACATTAAGCAGAGACTAACAAGATTCCAGTTCTGAAGCACATTGTAATTCTCAGCAGTTTGTGTTCTGCCATATATCCAACACCGTCTCTTAGGGGAAAAAGCAATATAATTAACATGGGGTAGATTTGGTTCAGTGTACTCATATTCCATTACAGTATCAATGTATTTGTGATTTTCATAGTATTGTGTACTTTCCTTTTTTTTTTTTTTTTTAATTTGTGTTGTTTCAAAAAGGCACCATTTTAGATGTTACATTTTCAGAAGCCATTGGATTTTGGCTATTTTGGATACATGGGGCAGAGGGAGGAGATGTTAAGAACTGAAAATTATAAACATGATTTTTTTTCCGTTACCAGCAGGAACATCCTCATCTGAGTCCCATTAGAGAGGTAACTGCCTTCATTAGTAAAATAAACTGATATATAATCACAACCAGTCTAAATGCTTGGACTGAACGACCTAATTTAGAAACTTATCTGTGAGTAGTGAGGCCTTTCTTGTATTATCTGAGTAAACAGAACAGATGCAGATGTTTGCCAGTGGTTCTGAGTCTCACAAATTGTTTCTACAGGCTGGCTTAAATATGCCTTATAAATTCACCAGTCTTCACTTATTGTACTTAAGCTTCAAAGCAAGCATGAAGGTTAGAAATGCAATGTTAATACTTACAGATCCAGCTGCTGTAACTCAGACCACTCAAGCAAGAAGAATGACTCAGAAAGAGAAACAAGAGTAGCACATAAAACACCCCTTTTCCTAATAATTTTCCACTGGCTTTAGCCAATCCTGTCTTCCTTCAGTGTCTGAGACATGGTGAAGACAATCATCTCGCTATCATTGCAGAGGTGTTTTCAGTCTCTTACAGATCTAACTATCTAACCAAGGAACACCAAGGCTGCTGCAGTTCTCTCTGTGTCCGTGCTTGCCCCATGAGCAGTTGAGAATTAATTCAATTTTTCCAGTTGCCTTTTTATTAGTTTAATTAATTTTCCTCTTCTTTCCATCATCAAACACGCTTTCCCAGATGACAGACAGGTTCTGTGCTGGAGGAAGTAATTTCTTCTCCGTCAAAAAAGGTTTTAAATCCACATTTTCTGAGTGCCGGGTGATTTAGGGGTCCTTGATATTTCAAGTGTTGAGATGGAAACATTGTAAAGTGACAGAAAATATTGTGTACTTATCCTCCGATCCCTGATGCTACTTATTTGAGGTGTCCTGAATTGCCATAGAAGATCACCAATCATTTTTGGCCCAGACCTTATCTCAGACATTCAAAAATCTTGTTCCCAAACTTCTGCTTCTTCCCCACTCAGAAGACTGGCTGAAAGGTGTCAGCTATGAGTTTTAAAACAAAAAAACAAATAGTTGGATCTTTAAAACTCCCTGTTCTCTGAGTTTCGTGATTCATGTTTTCCAGTGTAATCCCATAGAAATCTGATTGTTCTTGGCTTTTGGATAGAGAAGACCTCCTGCCTGCCTGCCTTCTTGCCTGTCTAATCCACAGGCTAAGGAGATAAAACATTGCACAACTGAAGAAGTTTTCCCGAATGGGATGTATCTACATTAATTCAGCCCAGGCCTGAGCTCGCCTTTACTTTCTACAACCATCCTAAAACCAACAAGCTGCTATAGAGGCAGTTCTGCAGATCTCATTCAATCTCCTTTCTGTTTCCTTCCTGAACAGCATCTGCTGTGATCACACACGTGACTGCATTGTGCCCGGCTGCTGCTGCTGTGCCCAGCCATTCCGCAGGCTCCATCATCTTCTTGATATCCCTTGATATTGGAAGGGACTGGGGGAGAAAAGGCCATGCTTCATGTGGGAGGTACGTATCATGTACCGTAAGCTCTCCTGCTTAATGTGACCCATACATTTCCATACTTTAGATTTGCTACTTACTCTTTTAGAAGCTGAGAGTGTTAGCACAATCTTCCTCTCTCCCCAGACCTGAGCACCCAAAGGTGCAGTGACTTTTTACCAAGTGTGAATATGAAAAACCCTCTCAATCCTCTCACAGGACCCACAGACATCCCAATATCCCCAGTCAGTACTGCCAATTTCCTGCAGACTGCAAACAGCTATAGACAGGATTCCAAACGGTTAATTTCAAATAGCTCCTTGTCTCTCATCTCTGCACAAATTCCTGTCATGTTGCATTACATGTAAACAACTCAGAAACTTAATGGCATGACTTTCAGTCAAAAACTGGTATGGTTTTTCCATCTGAGCAGATAAATTGCAGTTAGTAGCAATATAGAATGATGCAATCTGATTAGGGTTTCAATTGTTTTTCAGGATAAAATATTTTATGTGAAAGTAAAGCCAAAATTCCTCCTGGCACAACATTGACTTCTGTGCAAAAATAAAAGACTCATGTAAAATCCATAATACATTATTTTTAGTGTGTTGTTACAGTAACTAACTTTGATAACTTACTGTAAACTAGGTGTCAGATCAGATTCCAGTCCCTATGGAAATGGTGTTGCCAATTAAGTTAGGCAACAGGAATATTTTGCTGTAGAGGAGACTCTTCTGAGTGAGTCTTTCATCACCTTGGCATTGGACTTTTGTATTTCCATTTCACGTGGCCCAACTTCTTCCCGAATACATTTGACGTAAAACTTCTTGTCATTCCTTTTAGTTTTATTGCTATGTACTGTAGTGTTGTTCTTCAATTCTGGCTGCAGGCATTGTTCGTGTTTGGTAGCAGTTCTATAGATCCAGACTCAGGAGCTCAGCAGCATAAACCTTGTTAACTACCAGTGGGATTAATGTGAGGAACTCCATGAAACCCCTGAGAATGCATGCTTCACTGAGCAATATGTCCCTCAAAACTTTAGGATGGGGTTTACCTCTTCCTTTTTTGGTTTCCAATTCCTTTTTCCTCTCCTTTTGAAAGCAAAATTCTATAAAAATTAATGCAAGTGGATAAAAGCACATTCTGGGGGTTTTGTTCTCTTTCTTTCTTCCTTTCTTCCTTTCTTCCTTTCTTCCTTTCTTCCTTTCTT